TGAAAAAGTCAAGGTTGAAGCATCCTATTTGTTCCAGTTTGGGAGCAGCCAATAGTGGCTGCGACAAGTTAATGCAAATGATCCTTTTCTTAGCTGCATAGTATGTACTTCACCAGGACTGCATACAGTTTTTAATTCTGAGTTTTCCTTCTCCTAGGATGGTTGCTACCCAAGGCTATAGAACCCAGTCTGTCCTACTATTTATCAATTATGAAGGACAAGGTGATGGAGGATTGTCCAGCAGTTGCAACGGTGTGAACAATACAGGATGTAACGAAGAAGCTTCCTACCACTGGGCATCTACATGATACCATAACATATCATTGTTGCAACAGTGCTAATCATTTTGCAAAGGACTACATTGGAGCACATGTCAAAAGGAGGAAATCCTAAATATGCTGTTACATGTGTGATGAGATATGCCATATCTCCCCAAATTGTCTGGGAAAGGAGCCAGGGGAAGAGACTTCAATGCTAGTCTGCTCCCCAAGTCCCATCTGAATGAGGCACTATCTACAATTACTGTACATATCAATGGGACCAAGGATGCAACATTGGTGGACATGGGTTGCTCACACCTGAAAGAAGAAGAAAGTGGTCATGATCACTTTTTTTTGGCAATGAAACCCTTAGGTGCTTGTTCAACTTGGTGTGAGCGACAGGTACCCTATCAATGTTGAAGTTCTGGTTGTAGATGGGAAACTACTGGGGTACAACCTGTTGCTTGGAGTTGACATCATCAAGAGGCTAGGTTGCGTGTGTGCTGCTCCTTTCACTCGAGTATCACCTTTGTCGGTTTGTAACCTTCTTTAAGGATACAACATTTTTGATTTGTAACCTTCTTTAAGGATACAACATTTATGATTTGTAACCTTCTTTAAGGATACAACATTTATGATTTGTAACCTTCTTTAAGGATACAACATTTATGATTTGTAACCTTCTTTAAGGATACAACATTTATGATTGGTAACCTTCTTTAAGGATACAACATTTATGATTTGTAACCTTCTTTAAGGATACAACATTTATGAAGAAAGATAAACATTATATAGCATTTAAAACAATATCAAATTATTAATCTGTGAAGTTTCAAATTTTAAGTATTTTTACTGTATATACTTGTGTATAAGCTGGTTTTATGTATAAGCATGACCCCTAAATTTTTTTGCATGAATTTTAACCCCACACCAGAAAAAAACTTACCTATGTATAATCCAACTGGTCACTGAAAATGCATGATTTTTAATCCCTTCAAAAATGACTTGAGTATAGTGTGACTCCCTATTCTTTGTTAAAAAAAAATGATCATAAAAACTCACTCTATACTCAAGTATATACGATAGTTATTAAGTTATTACAAATTTTATACTCTTCAAATAACATGCTTTAAAATTGAGCCAAGCATTTTTCTACTAAATATTTGTGCACATTTTGTGTCTGCTTCAACATCCACATGCCAAGTATGAATAAAGAGACAATGTATCAAGTAGTCAGTCTGTGTGATAGTCTCAGAAGCAATCGGAGTAATAGTCCCAGTCAAAGTAAAATGAAATTTAATTATCTTAACATTTATGGAGAAAGATAAAAAAATATGCAGTATTTAAAACAATATTAAATTATTAATCTGTGAAGTTCCAGATTTTAAGCATATATACTGTATATACTTCTGTAAAAGCCTGCTTCATAAATAGTACAGTCCCTGAATGTTTTGCATGAATTTTAACCCCTTCAGAAAAAAAACTGACCTGTTTATAATGCATCTGGTCACTGAAAAAAAAAAAAAATTTTAACTTTTTCAAAAAATGATTTGTGTACAGTGTGACCCCTATTTTTGTTTAAAAAAAAATGAACAGAAAGACTTGCACTATACTTGTATATATATGGTAACTATTAAGTTATTACAAAATTTATACTCTTCAAGTAGTACACTTTAAAATCGAGCCAAACATCTTTCTGTTAATATTTGTGAACGTTTTCTGTCCACTACTACATCCACATGCCAGGTATAAATAAAGAGATAACATATCATCTAGTCAGTCTGCATGATAGTCTAAGCAGTAGTTGATATAACAGTCCCTGTAAGAGGAGTTATTAAGAAATCATTCTATGTTTAATGTATTTTACTGTTGTATGAAAACTGTATTCATAAGAAGAAATTTGACTAAGAAAAAAACAAAAAAAAAACATTTTTTCAAATCATCTCAACAATTTCTGGAATATAAAAATCTGGGATTTACGTATTGTGAAATTTTGATATTGTTCAACAGGTTCAATTGAACCTTTTTGTCGTTCTACTTTTTTAACACTCTATATATTTATTTTTACCTGACATTAAAATTTTTAGTGCATTAAAATTTTCATTATAACATTTAAATTATACAATTGTAACTATTATTATGTTTTTTATTGAGAAAATCAACATGAATAACAGTGTTTTCAATTTAATATAAAATTATGAACCAATAATAACGGGGTTGGAAAAAGTTATTAAGAGCTCTTCCTATATCCAGTTTATTTCCTGTTGTAGGAAAACTGTCTTTATAAGCAGGAACAGAACTAAAAAAAAAAATTGTAAAACACCTCAACATTTTCTGTAATATAAAAAAATAAGAAATTATAGGATATTATATTGATTAATGTCATGAAAGACTTTTTTCATGTCGGTTGTTTCGCTGATTTTGTTTGGTGACATATGGGTTACTTAATGCTGAAATCTAAATATTTTGAACAATTTTATGGCTTCAACTAAATATATTTTGAATGCAATTGTATGCCTTTCGCTACTGATAAAATGTATTGTTGGTCATTTTGCAATAAATATGTATTGCTGGTAATTTTTTTATATAAATATGAATTGCTGGTATTTTTACTATAAAAATGTATTTTTATACTTTCATACTGTTTTGTTTTTGTTTGGGGGTTCAATATTTACCCATAGCTGGGACCCTAACAGGTGCTACCACTCTGGCTCAGGGGGAATCTGGGAACAACAGCAATTACGAGGTGGTTCCACGCTCCTCAAAACCTCCAATCTCCTGATCAGAGGCCTTTCTCACAGATGTAGTTTATTGTCATACCCAGGACTCTGTGTGTGTGTGTGTGTGTGTGTGTGTGTGTGTGTATTGATTAAAATTTGCTATATTTATAGGAGTTTGTTCAATATCATTTATATAGAAAGTGTGAACGTAGGAATAAATACTATATGGTGTGTCACACTTCAATATGATCTTCAAACAAAGTCTAAACATCACATCAAAATATGACAGTCACAATGCAGTATTGGTTCCTGTATCCACACTGGGTCTATCTATCTATCTTTTTATTTTTTTTTTAAATCTGTGTTACCCCAAATAAGGCAGTACAGCCACTAACACACACTGAATTAGGAACAGAAACATTAGTAATGAGTCAAAAGAACATTCAGGAGGACAGTAGATAGTGATTCACATTGCATTTAAATTCTTGCAGATTGAAGTTGGCTGGAAAACATGGAGCCAGATAGGAGTTCCACAACCGAGATGTGTGAGAAAAAGAAACTGTTATTTCTCTCTCTCTCTCTCTCTCTCTCTCTATATATATATATATATATATATGTATGTATGTATGTATGTATGTATGTGCATAATGTAGAGACAGATAGATAGATTTTACATTTAGATGAAAAGAATTATAAAAGTATATACCTATTATAAATCAAATTTTTATTGGAATTTTATTTATTCAAAATATTACTTATATAAATTTATTTTTTTTTAATTAAATGATTTAAAACGTGTTGCATAATGTATTGTCGTCTGTTTCTCTTCCAGATTTAAATTAAAAAAAAAATGTCTAAGTGTCTCCCTTTAGTTTGAGCATCATTGTTTATTCCCCCTGACCTCGTTGTACAATAAAATAAAGGCATAAACGTACTTTTTTATTATCCTTTTCTTAAAGGATAAACTAGAGATCATCGTTACAATGAATAATAAACATTCTCATTTAAGAAGAGATTACAAATTGTCTAAATACCAGTGTCATTGTTAGTTGAGTCTTTAAATGACACTTTTACTCCCTAAAAATAAAAAAATAATCAACTGTGCTTGTGGTGTATTTATTTTAAAATAAACAAAAAATGAGGATGTAATTCCTCAATATTAGAAAAATAAACAATATTTTAACTTAATTAATACCTGAAAAAGTAGAAGTTTTTTTTTTATATTGATCGACAGAATAAAAATAAAATAAACGAAATGTGCGCTCTTGTAAATGAATTGAATCTTAATGAAAAATGTCGTCTGACGTCATTACCCGCTTATTATATATAAAAAAAAACCTTTTTTTATTGTTTCTTACGTGTTGATCATTTATTTTAAGATAATAAAATAAATATCAGACACCGAACACACATTTTTTGACATTTTTATTATCGTATCAATTTAAAAAAAAATACATTGAGTTTTCCCCCTCTCTTCTTTTATTTGCCACCTGAGATTTTTTTGTTTTAAACAGTAATTTTTCTTATAGCGCTATCTTTACTCTTTCTTTTAACGATGTTTATTTAAAGAATTCAAGTAACTGATATTGCTATCAAGAGGAAAGGTCTCCAGCTTGAATCGAACCCGCGTCCGCTGTTGGTAAATATCGTTAGCGGCTCTACACCTGGTCGACAGTGATTGGCTCAATTTCCGAACGTGGCGTAAAGCTTCGTATTTACAAACGATAACTTAAAACTCGCTGTAGCTTGGTTACGAATTACTCGAAATATCAAAATATAATAATCTCATCAGGTTTAATTTTCAAAAAGTAAACAAATTTCTCCACTTCAACTCATCTCATGCAATTATTTAAAAAAGAATAAAAACCTGAATGCCCTGAAAACAAGCTTTAAGCTATTTTTACTCTAAAACAGCTCGCAGCTTACGAATTAATTTTTACACTTTCGTGCATCCTTACAAACAAATAATTTCATATTTGTACTACGTTTGCTACTTCCTTGTTACTACAGTGTGAACAACATGGCGGATACCGGTGCGGTGAAAACAGATATCCGCACAGCAATTTGGAATCCTGGAGGATGGAAAAGTCTGTTGACATTTTTCATCCTAACTCTAGCTTAGTTAGCAGGTTTCAGTTCCAGATTATTTTCTGTCATTCGTTTTGAAAGCATCATTCATGAATTTGATCCATGGTAAGTATTATTCGCCGACAAATCTGACGTGGGGCGGCATGACTTTTTTTTCTTTTTTTTTTTTTTTGATCGTAGTAAAAATAATTTGCTACGAAGCTTCTGCATTTTTATTTTCTAATCTGAAAAACAAATTTAAATTTTATGAAATGCACAAATAAAATCTGGTAAAACATTTAGGAAAACTTAATAAACAAAAAGAAATATATACGACAAATCTCTCTAAAAAATCATTTGCAAAAAAAAAAAGAAAAAGTTTTGGGTTTTTTTTTCTCGTTAAAATGCAATGTAATTTTATTTCAATTTTTATTAAAGAAATAATTTTTTAAAAATTAATTAAAATAAGACATAGTCTATATTTTGCTCTGATTGCTTTCTTTTCTGTCAGTGATAGTTGGATGATCAGTTATTTTGAAATAACTGGTTGATTATTTTGTTTTACGAAACAATTTTTAATCTAAAAAAAAAAACACTAAAAATTTTTTTAAGTCGACTTATCTGTTTTATTTTAATATTTTTTTTGTATAAACTTAATTAAAAAAAATGAGTTGTAGCTAGAGAAGATGATAAAAAATATACTGCATATTTATTTATTAATTTTACAGAAAATTAATTAAGTTTAAATTAATTTTTATCTTCATAATAAAAGATTTTAAAAGCAAGGACCACATCAAGGGTATCATTTCTACTTAGGTTATTATTTAGTCTTATAAATAGTTTAGTATCAATAGAGCCACATATACCTAATAAAATTGTTTATATTTATATCTATATATACTTTAAATAACAATTCGACAAACTGTCTTTTTTATGTGAGATAATCTACCTTGGATTATGGTTTAAATTTTTAAAAAATAACTTAATTTTTATTTAAATTAACTTAAATTTATTAAGGAAATGATGTGTAATTTCTCAAAGTCAAATTTCCTTTGAAATCACTTTTGTAGAAAATTTTTTTTTAATTTCTTAAAATGTATTTTTATCTTAAAAAATTTTTTTTTACTTTATTTAATCAATATTTAAATTTTGCTAAAAGCATCTAGAAAACTTCATTGAAAATCGATATTCGATTTCACATAGAAATAAAATTAGTAAACCGAAATTTTAGTTTCCGTCTTTGGAGTGTTTACTCAAAAAAATAATAATAATACAACAAAAAATTGACTTAAATAATGTAATAATTTTGCTATTAAACTCTTTCACGGGAATATTATTAAATAAAAATCCATATGTTTCTTTATTTATTGTGGAAACTATTTGAATCCACGTCTTCGTTACGGCTTTTTATTTCTTCCTCCGTTATTTTCTCTTTGTAGGTATATTTCTTTCTTTTATTTTTTTCTCCCAGGTGAGAATTGATGTATAAAACCGATTATTATTTTTCCACCCATTTGTCTTGAATGTGAAACTGTTTTTATTTTCCATTTTCAAAAATAATTTTGTTGACTAAAAAAAACAAAAAAACGTTAAATCGTTATGTTGCTAATGTAACTGCTATCATTGTTTCACTTGATGGTAAATTTGCTATTTTTCACCTGTTTCACTGTAGACTTGATTTTAAAACTTACAAAAATAGTATCCTCCTCTTGTTAATAAATCCTTTTTTTTTTTAAATTAATCAAATTTTATTTAAAACGAAATCATTGCATTTTTCAGTTATCTACCTTTGCAATCACTAAACTAAAAATGTTGATTTAAAAAAAAAAGGGCCTTTTGACTGTTTCTTCTTCATAAAAATCTCGTTACTTTTGAGTTTTGACAGCAAGTAAATACGTTGCCAATCTCTTTTTTTTTTTTTTCTTTTTTTTCGGCCAAGACATAAATAATCGTAGGTCACCTGATGACTATTATTCCTTATTAGTATCGGCATACAGCTGATTTTCGTGTATTATTGTAGCATTTAGAAACAAATCACTTATTATTCGTGTTAGTTAGCTTTTAGTTTTAAAAACACTTGTGGGAATTGTCGAGAAAGAAAGAAAAAATCTGCAAATATAGCACTTGTGTTATTATTATTTTATTTACCTAGACCCCCTGGTTATTATTAATTTTGAGCAGAAATGCAACATAAATAAAATAAAAAAAATCAATTACATCTCACTTGCCTTACAAAACTGATAAATTGAATACCCTTTGACAGTACCTCCCTCATAGCAGACAAGTTTAAAGAATCTTAATTGTTTTGATGACGAAATTTAATTTCTATTTCATTTTTATGCAGGCTGTTTGCTAAGATCAATTATATTTTTCATATCTGAAAAAGTTGTTTTACTCATAAAGAAAAAATACTGTGAAAAGAATATTTACTTGTTGGACATGATGCAAAATAAGCATGTATATGAAAGCTGGCATGATATTTGTTATTCATTTATTGTTTACAAATGATTTTTACTAGATTTTTAATTGTTGTAAAATAATTTACAATGTTATTTTCTGTGCTGTTTAGTTTTGGAAAAATGCATGAAAAATTGGCAAACTGTTGGAATTCAGATAGGTTGTATTTTTTGTAGTAAAGGGAAATATTCAAATAGGAAATTGCTTGTGTGCACTCCTATTGCCAGACATCTTGAGGATAGACAGAAATTAATAGGTGAGAGTGTACAGTTACACTGATAAACCACTTTCTAATAATAAACTTAACTGCCCATCCAATAGCAGTAAAACTGCTGCTATATCTATTGTCAGTCTTGACATATACATGCAAATGTATACTTGAAGGAATAGCTTATAGATTATTTTCCTAGTATCTCTAAGGGATACAGAAAAGACTCCTTTCTTTTGGTGCCAATGTTTGCTAATTTAATACAAAAGAAAATTGTCTTTGTATATTTTACAAGCTCTGTCAGCTTTTATGAGAAATTATTATTATTAATTTAAAAATTTTTTTTAAATCCCAAATTCCTGTTCATTCTTCAGCTACTGTATGTACATGTAAATTTTAGGAGCAATTTTAAAATGTCTTTAAAAATGATTTTGCTGCTTGGAAAACAATTACTATTCGTCATCTATTTTGAATGCATGCCTTAGGGCAATAATAAGCTAGATTGACAGGCCATTTCTAGAGAGTTCAATTTTCACCAAGCACTACCTAACTTTTATCACATTGTGGCCACTATCATGCTTTTGCACTCTCAAGTGCTGATGCAACTATAAATCATGTGACAAAGATGCAAACCAAAAATGAAAGCAATGCATGAACCAACAAATCCTGATATGATGGATGATTGCAAAATTTACATGGAATTAGACTCAAAATTTTATCATTTTTTGTATTAAATAACAATGATTTATATCCTGTTTAATATTATTGGTTCTTGAATTTCTATTGAAAACTTTATTGATGTTTATTTTCTTGATTGAAAACAATTTTTTCCAGACATTTAAATGTGATAATACAAATTTTAATGCACAGAAACTAAATATATAGTCTTTAAAGTGTGTGTGTGTAAAAATATAATTGTGTCACCTTGTGTTGGACTTAGCTTCATGCTTTCTTGGCACATGTATTTAATGGACACATGTTGCAATCTATAAATACTTTTTTAAATATTAGTTTTCTGGTTGTATATAAAGGATAGCAGGTTTCATCCTTGAATATTCCAATTTTTGCTAACTGGGTAAATGGTTCAGTAACATTGTGTGATACTAGATTTAATAACCTGAAGGTATTTTGTTAAATGACAGTTTGAAATTTTGCATTGCTGTTTGGAATATTTTATGTGTCTGTCAAGAAATGAAGGTTCATGATTTGAAATTGGGAAACAAACACTAACTTAAATGGCTAAAAGTTAGGCTTTTGTTTTGTTTTTTTCCCCTGTATGAAATTCTCAGTTATTAGAAAATTACTTTTCATTATTTTTTAATTTAAAAATGAACCATTTGTGCCTCATCTTCTACAGTCTTGACTTCTTTTCTAAACTTCCAGATTATTTTGTTTTTATTAGTTTTTACAAACCTGCTTTTAACTGAAACTAGACCACTGATAAAACCATAGGGTTTCTTTTATAAGCAGTTTCTGATACAAAATGACGAGGTAACAATATTACAAATTTTATTAATTACTCATTTTAATTTGTATTTAAAGGCAATAGAAGGTTTGTTCCACTGGGCTTCATAGTTAACCCATTGCATGGCAATTTATTTGGACTAATAAATTAAAGCAGGTAAAATCTTTTTCAAAATAATCAGTATATTTTTTATTAATTATTAGTTAATAAGTAAAATATTTTCTAGCCCAAATACAAATGAAAAGCAACAAAAACATTTCAATGCAAATATATCCTGATTAAAAGTATGAAAATAAATTATCTTACTATATCAATAGATATGTTTTACTTTTTTACATTAAAAAAGAAATTTCTTCTATCAAATATATTTTGATTACAAAATTAATAATTAGCACTACAGGCAGTAAAAGGTCTATTGTTCCACTGGGTTTTATTGTTAACACATTGCCTGACAATTTGGAGTAATAGCTTAAAAGAGGTGTAGACTTTTTCAAAATGATAAGTATATTTTTATTATAAAGGTTTCTTCCTTGCATTTATTTCAAAATAAGTAACTACAACAAATCCACATACATCTATTTACTTTCTTTCCATCAAGTCATTTAACACATATAGCCTTTTCACTCTTTTAAGTAGTTGTTTATAAAGAAAAGTTCTAATGTCATGTAGTGAATTGTATAAATATATGTTATGCATATTTCAATTTATTTAATGTTATAATGTATCATGAATGTTTATTGTTTTTCACATACATAAGTTGGAATATAATATGCAAGTATTTGTTTATATACGTGGATTGATATAAGAATGTGTATTGAAAACAAATACTGGATTTACTATTAAAAATCCCATAAAACTACCCTAGCTCAAGAACCCCTTGACTAATTTTAATGAAATTTGGCACTGCACTCAATAGGAGTTCAGGATACAATATACTCTTAAACTGGTTAGGGTATTATCGTTTAAGATGTATCTCAGGAACACACACACACAAGATTAGAGTTTTAGTGTTATATAGATTGTATTGTTTACTTAAATGTATCCGTTTTAAATAAACTAATGTGGGGACTAGAGGTTTTTACTGTTGAAGATGCCAACACTGTCCAGTCCAGTTTGACTTATGGAGTTTTGCCAGTCTTTCTATTTCTACTATAAACTTTTTCTTTTATTTTTTTCCTCACCTTCTTCTCTCCATTTTATTTTACCTTCTATATTTAATTCCTTGCTGGAAATTAAAAAAAAAAAAAAAAGTAAAGGAAAAGTGTATGAAGTTAAATGAAAAATCTTTAGACTTGCATTCCTGATTAATTGTACCAGTTGGACTTATTTGATTCTAGGACGTCTGTTGTTCAAATTGTTAACTAATTATAATGCTGAACAGTTAAAACTTATTTACTTTCAGATGTCCTCATCTTTGTTGTTATTATCACAATGTTTCAGCCATTGTGCCCTCTGGCTTTCTTCAGATGTTTGTTAGTTCAGGTAATATGGAAATTTCAAACTGAACTAGTGTTAGATTGTTCTTGTTCTGTTATTCATGTTTAGAGATATCACGTTCATTGCTTGCCCTGTTTCCATTGAGTCTAAATCTCTACTACTTGGTCCAGAGATTGAATTCCATTACTTTTGGCCATCACCAAATTGACAAACTGACTAAGTAGTCTGGATGTAAATAATAACTCCTCATCCCAAATATCCAAAAGTTTAAAGTTTATATGTAAATATTGAATAATTTTAGGCATGTTGTTGTATAGAGAAAATTTACACATAAAGATGGTATTTATAAATTTTGTCACTACTAGTAGTAGTAATTCAGTATTCAGTGAATTAGATGTGTATGTGATTGGCATGGAATGTGAAATCAGTATGCTGGGTTCAAATCCTGACTGTTTTGTTCCCTTTATACTGATGTCCTTAGAAAAGGTATGAATTAATTTTTCTTTTCGTTATGAGTTAAAGAGCAGAGTAGACCAGGCTCTCTAGCATTGGATGATAGCCAGTCTAGGAGAAAGAAAAGTGGGTTCAAAAACAGCTTGAAGGCAGATGGACTCTCTTGGGCTATCTGAGACACTCACTGTTGGTAAGGCTGTACTACATGTTGTGCCCTTATGATCCTAACAGGTTCAAATTTGCTTCAGTCATTTTCCTATCACTGTAACATAGCTTCACTTTGTCTCTTTTTTTTTTTTTTTTTTTCCACCTCAAACAAGGCAATAAAGCCACTAAGTTGCAAGGAGTTACTGAATGAAAGAATATGAGCAGAAGAAAACTTTAAAGGGAGAGAACAATAAAATAACAAGAATTAAGAAGACAAGATAATGATTCTATATTTTCACAGTAATTGTTCTGATGGACTTTTCCTCATTGACATCTCAACTTTACAAATTAATGCTCAGTACTATATTGGCAGCTAGGTCTCATAATTTAATTACTGAAATTGCTAGTTATGACTATAGTTCTATTGTAATCGTTTTTTCTCTCATATTTCTCACTTGTGGAACTCTCTTCAGACTTTCTGCATTTCTTTCAATTATAATCTTCAAAAATTTAAATGCAATGTCAATTGTCAGCTTCTGTTTCTTTGTTCTTTCATCATCCTCTCTGTTACTTTCACACTTAATAATCCTTTGCATCTTAGTGGTTTTATAGCCTTGCTTAGGGTGAAATGATTTTTTTAAAAATTTCAATTCTTTTACTATTATTGGGATGTAAACAATAATTTTATGAGTCTAGTTTTAATCAGTCGAGTTTGTTATATTCACTTTCACACACGCATTCTTGGGAAATGTATCAATCCATTTCTTGTCCCCTACCTATAGGCTAAATGGTAGGGTGGACTTTGATCTTCGTCCTTGGTTAGTAACCAGTTCCATCTGCGGATAGCTAATGAGTTCTATAAAACCTGGATAGATGGAACTCATTAGCGTGGGAACACATGGTCATCTAAGGGAAACAAAACCTGCTTCAGAGTATAGAGGTTGGGCATAGGCCAGTCACCTGATTCCTGGAACAGTTTGATTACAGAAACCTCACCAGAGGCATTATGCACAATGAGGCACCAGGCAGATAGGAAGGAAGTAATTTACAATGATATTTCATTAACTTGGATGCTGTGTGTATTTATCTTTCATTTTCCCTCCAGTTTTTTTTATGTCTGCTTACAGCTATATCACTTTGAAACACCAGTTCCTGTATGACCACTGAAGTTAAGCAATGTCAAGCATGGTCAGTACCTAGATGGGTAACCACTTGGGAATGTCAGGTGCTCTAATCTTGGATGTGCAGGTAGTGTAATGAATAATTGCTCAGAACTGCTAATCAGAAAGCGGAGTTCCAATTCCATTTGGGTTCATTATATTCACTTATGAGCAAATACCATCCGGCGATACATGAATCCACATCTTCTTCCCCCAACTATGAGTTAATTAGTAGGTCTTGTATTGCTAATCATCATCTCAACAAAAAAAATTGTTAAAATATTAAATTTTTAAAATATTTTCTGGTTTTAAATAACGTGAAAAAGGTTGATAAACCGTAAAAAAACAAATCTATCAAAAGCCACCTTTTTGTTGTTGTCCATTCTCTTTTTTTTTTTTATATCTTTTCTCGTTTCTTTTTATTTATTTATTAATTTTCCAACTCCTATCAGTTCTTTTAGTTATTTGCACTGAGTGAGCCGTTTTCATTTCTCTCTGCAATCCATTTAAATCTGCCATCTTGCTGGTAACCATTCACTTTCCTTTTATAAATCTGCCTTCACAGCGTTGCCTGTATACTTATCAGTATTTTTAGCAGGAAATATTGTTTATCTTGTGCTAATTAACAAAGAAAGTTATTGGCAGTCACCAAGACTAGAAACAATTTTACCTTTACTTGTTGCAGATGTTCTAATGTTGCTAATATTGATTTTTATTTGTCATTTGTTTGTTACTGTTGGCCTTTCTGAATGGGGATAAATCTCTCTTTTTCTAACAACTCTGGCAGAAACCTTTTGGCATAAAGTGTGTGTGTACATGTGCTTGCATGCATTGTTGTTATTGCCAATTTCAAATTGTACGTTTTTACCCCCCCCCCATTTCAAAATGATCTTTGGCTGTCACTAATAAAAAGTTGCTTTCTTCTAAATAAATTCTAATCAGAAACTTTTAATTGGAAGTTATTTTATATTCTTGTCTTGAATTTGTATGACAAAAGGGGGGAGTGATGCCAAAGCTGTTACTGATTGCTTAGTCAACAAGACTGTAGTACTCACTTATGCAAATTGCTCATTCTAGAATAAACACAATTCACCTGATGATCTGGTATTAATTATGAATGCTAACAGTCATCTTGCCAAAGCAAGTATAAAATATATTTAAAAAAAAAAAAAATAGAAGTAAATTTTCAAATTTGCATATTTTGTTAACCTACATTAAATAACTACTATTTTCTATATTAAATTTTAATGATATATTTTGTCTATAACTTTGAGAAGATGGAATAGTTTAATTGTAATCCTCTATTTTCTCACAAGGGATCAATGCTGGTAAGTTGGTTGCAAAGAGCAGTTCTGTAAAAAAAAAAAAAAAATTCACTTTGTATAAGGCCTGGGAGCCACTGAGGGTAGAGGGTTACAGAATAAAAAGCATAGTTTATGCAGATATCTGCGAAAAGATAATGATTAACCTTAGACTTGAACAAGTTATGATTGTAGTGATCAGGAAAAAATCCTCTTGGGAGTTGGTTCCACAAAGCAGTGGTTCGCGGGAAGTTAGTTGTGTGGAAGTTGCTTCTCACCGAAGGAATGATGGTGGTTTGCTAGAATGTGTTTAGCATGATGAGTCCTAATGGGTAAAGAATGTAATTTGTCTAACCACTTTCTATGGAAATAGCAATAAAGCAGTGAGGCTTGTTACATCTGTAAAGAATAGGGTCACAATGTGTTTGGAGCATGAAAGCTGGAAAGTCCTAATGGGTGAAATCAGTGTGTAAATAATATCTGGCCCTGTATGAGGAAAAAAGATAACCAGGAACTGACAATTTTTACAAATTTAACTGAATACAAGGAAACAAACCTTTTAGAATTGTTCTATTTGCATCTTTTACATGTGGTAATAGTTTTGTGGTTTGTTTATTTCTGAGATGAGGTATTATGTACAGTATTTAATTATGGATGGTCCAATCTTTGTATATATTTGTCACAACTTTTCTCTTTGGAATTTTTACTGAACACAATCATGTAAAATTCAGGAAACTGTTTATTTGAAAATTTGCATTGTTTGATGGATGTCAATTATACATTTAAAAAAAATCTATTTTCCTCTGTTCTCCACTGCCTTAACCAGGAATTGAACTGCTTCTTTAGGTCTGTCATGGATCATGGATCTAACCAATTTTTAAAGATCCATGTGCCATGTGCCTTGAGGTATTTTGGAGGACATTTTCTCATCACCAACCTCTTTTTTTCCCTTAGGATTTTTTTCCAATAGATAATCTGATGGAGATGTTGACTTTCTGAACAAACAACACACTTTTTTTGGGATCTCAAATATATTAGAGGATGAGGGCTTAATGGGCATTGAAATTTTTCACCAGCAATGGCGAATATATACATGGAATAAATTTTTTAAGAAATGGCATTAGAGTCTATATCGCTAAAGCCAACTATATGGTTACATATGAGTACGTAGATGACACTTTCATACTCTGGCCATTATAAGGAAGAAGTCCAGGTTCTTCTGGACCATGTGAACTCAATAAGACCTTCGATACAGTTCACAATGGAGAAAGAAAGTAACAACTCACTCCCATTCCTGGATGTACTAATATCTCGAACAGAGAATGGGTTCAAGACATCCGTATTTACCGTAAACCAACATTCACCGGACAGTATCTCAATTTCAACTCCCACCATCCATACAGCGTAAAGAAAGGGATCGTCCGATGCTTACAACACCGAGCAAAAAGTCATAAGTGGCGATCCAGAGACGTTAGATAAGGAATTGGTCAGTATAAGTAGTACCCTTTCAACGCAACAACTACCCTGGGTACATGGCAGCAGCCCCAAAAAACTGGGATAGGCGGGTACAAGAGGAGGAGGAGGAGGACAACAACACTCAGAAAACAGTCTGCCTGCCTTATGTGAAGGGGTTATCAGAGAAAATACAAAGGATCTGCGGTCCATATAACATCAGGACAACCTTCAAAAGCTTGACAACACTTCGCAGGTATCTCTCACGAGTGAGAGACCCCCATAGAGAGGAACATGACTAAAGACTGTGTGTACGCTATCCCATGCAGCTGCGGAAAGGAATATAAAGGAGAGACAGGCCGCCCCCTCAAGGTAAGGCTTCAAGAACACCAGAAAGCTGTAACGCGAGGGGAAGTAGAAAATCAGGCGTGGCTGACCACATATGGAGAGAGAAGGGAGATCACCGCCCCTGTTGAGATCATAGACAAGGAACACCATTGGAAAATTCGTAAACTTATGGAATCAGCACATATGCTAGGCCACAAAAATCTCCTGAGCCGACCAAGCATAGAAATAAATACAATATGGGAACCAGTAATAAGGAGTGCCAGAGAAAAAGCAATGATAACAAAGTTGCAATATGAACTCTGGTAAAGACATGCAATGATAACAGCAAAATTTGCAATATGAGCACTGGTAAAAATGAGGCTGAAAACATTAGGTTTATAATACTCAGAAGTTCATACCCAGATGTCCTCAAGGACACATGGCACAGTGGATAAAGGCGTTGGTTAGATCCAGTGACAGACCCAAAGAAGGTGAGTTCAATTCCTGGTTATGGCAGTGGAGAACTTTCAGAGGGAAAATTAGCAGGAGATAACTGATAACTGACATCCATCAAACATGGCACGTGGAATTAGAACAGTCTACCCCAGTGATCGAAATAAAGGGTTCAGTTCGAAATTCCAACCACCTGAAGAAGGAGCGTACAAAATGTGACAAATATGAGGACAATAGTCCGACTAATGTAAATACAGTTTTGTAGCTGTATGGTTGGCAATGCTGGGGGTGGCTGTCTCATTTTCTGGGAGAGATGGCTGTGATTTATTTATTTATATATTCTTCAAGCATAGCTTAGATGTGGCACAAGGACGAAAGTATGAGGCATCCAGTGAGGATTGAACTCTCCTTGCTAACCATTACACCACGCAGAGGTGCTATATATATATATATATATATATATATATATATCCTATCCTTCAGCTTTGTGGAAATCACTACTAATGACCTAGCATTGCTGATTTGATTGGTATTTTTTTTTTCTGTCCTTATATTGTGAAAGAATTGATCTGCTTTAGACATAACACAATCATGAAATATAATGTTACTTGGAGCTGATATAGTCTTACTGAATGATGTAGTAAGGATATAGGGCTTTGCTCCTGGCTAGCTCGTCTCTTGGTGTCAGGATATCTACTATTTGGAGGAATCCAAGTCATATTCTGGAGAAGTGTGTTCATCTCCACAACGCCCCCCCCCCTTTTTAGATATGGACTTTCTTTAGTCAATACTTTTTCCAACATGGGTCCACTTCCAACGTTTCACTCAGATTACGTTTTCACTTACACTTGTGTTGTATTGTAATATTAGTTTTAGGAATAGGTATTTCAAAGGTATTGTAAAATATGTTCATCAGGGAATTGTACTTGTTGCTTATTCTGTGCATATCTAGACCTCAATTTATGTTGAAATTGTCCACCTTTGACAATGTATGTCATACTACCAAGGCATTGAATAATTTTTCCTTTCCAGCCTTAACACTTTTAAAGACTTTATCACCAATCTTAAATGATCTCGTAGTTTCAAATTGTCAACTTTCCTTTTTATTCCCTGGCAGTAATTTGTCAAAAATAGATCTAACTTTCCAAGCAAACATGAGCTCTGGAGGTGACATTTTTGTGGTGACGTTTACATTTGATGTCATTCGATATATGCTCAAAAATTTTTAGGGTGCCATTTCTTCAGCTTCCAAGCCTTTAGCTTTTCTTGATACCCTCTTAAAGGTGTCAAAAAACCACTCAGCTTGACCATTTGACCTTGGATGGTAAATTGGCATCGTCAAATGGTCAACCACGTAGTTTTGCAGAAATTTTTAAAATCACGAGAAGTAAATTGAGTTCTATTATCAGATACCATGCTGTCAGGTACTCTCAGCCTTGCAAAATGTTTGAAGAATTTAATCATTATTGTAGTAGTAGATCACTTACACTTTAATATCTTGGGCCATTATGTGAAACTGTTGTCCACAATTAAGTAG